ATGATGCATTAGCAAAGGCGTCTTGTAAATTTCTGATATGGCAGTTATTTTCTTCTGGAACAGGTGTACAGCCTGACGGTTTAGCTAAGCCTGAAGTAGGAAGAGAAGTACCAAGTGTTTGATGTGTCTGTTTTGCACAAAATGATTGCTGCTGATTGGTAGGGGTCTTACGTGTGTCATCATTTCTGCAAGGAAGATTGGTAATATCTCTAAACACTCTGCTAAAGGCTGATTTGAGTGGAATAGAACTATTTGTGTTCAAGACATTAGCTTGAGTAATTTGGCTCTGTAGTGTTGGAGTCTGAAATACACGTGATCTTTTAGCTGGTTTAGGAGAAGAGTTCAGGTCTAGTAGAGGGTGCTTAGGCTTACAGCCAGTAGTTTGAGTAATTTGGCTCTGTGATGTTGGAGTTTGACCAACCTGGACTCGTTTATCTGGTTTAGGAGAAGAGTTCAAGTCTAGAAGAGGGTAGTTAGTCTTAGAGCAAGTAGCTTGAGTAATTTGGCACTGTGATGGTGAAGTTTGACCAACCTGGACTCTTTTAGCTGTTTTAGGTGAAGAGTTCAAGTCTAGAAGAGGGTAGTTAGACTTAGAGCCATAAGTTTGAGTAATTTGGCTCTGCGATGTAGGAGTTTGAATAACACGGGATCTTTTAGCTGGTTTAGGTGAAGAGTTCAAGTCTATAAGAGGGTAGTCAGGCTTTTTTTTCATAATTGAAAACAAAAGACTCACAGCGAGTTTATGCAAAATGGTGCTTTTGATAATCAATGACCTTCATATTGAAATAGCCTTTTCAAAATTAAATGGCAGATACGCCAGCAATCCACTAATATTGATCTGTTGAGAAAATATAGTTACTTTCTATATTCTAGGCATTGAGATAAAGTTAGATGGTTCAATGAGAATATTTTCATAATCTGTTCACTTATTTTGTTAGTGATTCATATAATAATTGATAAGTTTTTTAAAGTTAAGTTTGGTTGATAATTGCGCAGATTAAGGAAATACAGGAAGCAATGAAGATCTTGATTGATGCTTCTCTCAACCATACAAATACCAATAAATAAGGTATGCTTTCAAAACAGTTTCTTAAACCAAATCATTTACTTAGTCAAGTAAACGAATTTTCCTAAATATTTAGGTTTCTGATTTAGTTTGACTTAAATTCATAATTAAGTTGTAACCTTTATATCTAAATAGGCTTTAGTCTTAAACTTGTAGACATCAAAATATCAAAAAACCACACAACTTGTAGCCCAATATCAATACAGATTAAAATATTAAAGAGAAACATAGTTTGCAAACTCTTGTGCAGAGTTGCAGTAGTAGTTAATAAAACCAAAAGAAAATTAAAAAACATTCAGAGTTCAAAAGGGAAACTGAAAACATAAGACCTAAAATTCAAGTTCTCCATAAGAGGTAGCCACCGTAGCATATCCACCGATATTCCTCACAACTATTAGTTCTCCTCAACCATCTCCATCATGACATCTTCCTCATCACTTGAAATATCTTCGAATGAGCGCCTAACAGAAAATAGTTGCATTTATATTAACACAGAAAAATGAAAACATTAAAGAAGTCTAAACTATAAATGATACTTACAGGTAGCTTGGTATGTCTAGCTCATAGAAAATGGGATCAATGTACAGACGTGAACAGCAAGATTCACTCATTAAGACATTGTTTCCTATAGTACAATAATGAACACAGTCAATATAACAATGCAAATATAAGCTCAGCAAAAGCAAACTCTCATTAAAACCTACCACAGTACGATGAGATCCTCCAGAAACGCAAGACTGCAACTACCTTATCATAGTTGTACTCTACAGAGCTAATTCTCCTGGACCAAGCGTTGACAAAGAACTCACACCACTTACCAATAGCAACGCATTTGATAGTCTCACCCCTAGATTTCATGTAGCCATTAAAGCATATTGTTTTTACCAGATATAACATGATAACAAACTTCATTATCTTGTACAAAAATAGACAGAAATATTGATAACTTACACATTGTTAGCAATCTTGAAACAAACATAGCGAGCTTCATAATCTGTCTCCCCAGGACGACAAACAAATGGAAACCTTCCGATGGTTGAAACAGCAGAGATCACACCCATAGCATCTAATTAAAAACACAACACATAATGGTGAGAAAGACATATAGAAAGATAACTATATAACTTGAACAAAGTGTCTTCTATTACCAGTCACATAGGTTCCATCATCTGGATGAGGGTTTCTGACAGCATCAGGAGTCACAAAATCAAAGAAATTGCTATAACCCTTAGATCTAACAGGCCAAATGGTTGTTTGTCTGATACACCTAATCTGAAGTGGCATGGCTGCAAATCTGGTTTGGTATTCTGAGGGTACGACTGGTTGGAAGTCAGACATGTAATACCACAAACCTTCTTTGAGTCGAGGTTGAAAGTTCCACATGTAATTGTCTCTAGGAATTGTTGCATCGCAGAAATTACCCTAAAAAAAAAAAAAACGTTAACAGACAGTAAGTAAAAAAACTCATAAGATGATCTTCACTATGTTTTAAAACAGAAGGTAAGAATTTCAAAAAAACCTTCTCATCTGCGAGAATCATGGTGGTTAAATAACCATTCAATGGTGGATTGTGATGCCAGATACGCATTATCTTAACATAAACCCTCCAATCTGTAGAGTTAACGCGAATTTGGGAAAGAAGATGCATATCAACCATTTTTTTAACTATTCTGCTCTGCTTTGAAAAGCGAAGTTACAATGTTTCTCTCTGTTTGTCCTTCACGATAGGTCAAGTTGGTTATATAGAGAGATTGAGTAAGAGGCATAAAATTTTTAAAGAATAAAGAGGAAATCGAAACGTTATTACTTTACTTGTTTTAACAATATAGACGATATTTTTTAGATTATAGAGAATCATTGGTAATGATTGAAAAAGTTGTCAGTTACCAAATGATTACTTTTAAAGATACACATTGTACATTGTTACCTGTTACTTATGGAAGCTAGATATGTTTTGCATGATTTCTTATCGAAGTTCCCAAATAAAAAGTAACTATGATTTCGTGTACATTATATATAGACAATATATAGTAATATTACATAATTTTAATATCCTGCATATATATCAAGTTAATTAATATTCTCATTTAGTTATATCTATATATTCATGTGTATGTCTATTATGAAACAAATGAATTAGGTATATAGATGAAGTTGTAGTATTAAGTCTTTTTATTATTTTTGCTATTAGGTTAATTAGTATAGAATAAGAATATAAATAAAAGAAATGATATAGCGAAAGCTAGTTGCATTCGTGAAAGAGTAACAATAGAAAGGAAATCTAAAACAGAATAGCAAGGAATAAAAGAAAGCAAAGTCTTAGACATCTGAAAGCAATAAGAAAACAAAGCATGGAATAAACCGGTTCACAGCAACAATTTTTCACTTCTTTTCAACCTTGACCTTCACACCACCTTTAACACTTTTTCCCTCCTTCTTCACCTCAAGTGTGCCCCCTCCACCATTGGATACAACATTGTTACTCTGATGGTCATATTTGATAGCATCATCCTTAATCACCACAGCAACATTGGGAGCTATGTCCTTCACATTTCCCTCTTGATCTTTAGGAATAGAATCTTGATCACCAAAGTCAATAGGTTCAATGCACAACTTCTTAGAAGAAGAAGAATGATCAGAAGAACCGGGAATGTCGGCATACACACGTTTAGATGATGGAGTGACAGAGTCAGAAGTCTCTTGACTCATCTCCAGCATTAGTGGCACCTGTAGTTAAACAAAGGATGAAATTAGTACTATAGCCTAGCTGGTGAAAGGATCCATGTACTTCTGCTTGTGTTAATCAAAAATGTTCTGTCACAACAATTACCTGATCACCAGACACTATAGATGCAGGATTGACCAACTCCTGAGAATCCTCCAGCAACTGTTCTTCAAGCAAAAGGCCATCTTTCTGCAAAACTTTAGAGACCTTGTATATCTCCTTCCCATCCCAGATATTCTCTTTCTCAACACACACCAGGAAAAGGAATGTCCTTCCATATAGATTCCTAATTGCATCTTGTATGTTGTCTGGGTCATCAATCTAAAATTTAAAACATATCAGGAACTTGTGTGACTAATACAATGTAGACATATATTTAAATATAAAGTAGTTCATGAAACCTCATCAACGGAACCATTAAGCACAGATGGAGCAGACTCGCCAATGATTTCAGAGCAAACTGAATCAAAAAGTAACAGTTTAGCCTCACCAGTGTTGTCCATCACATTAGCATAGAGCATAAACCTGCATCAAATGTAAACAATTATGTAAGATATCTATTTTACATTTACAAAATAATAAAATATAACTAACGTAGTTTTTCACCTAGCCACGACATTAGTGACAACAGATTTGCAAGTGTCACACCAGAACCTCGGCTTCTTCCCTTTGTTATTCACACCATTCACTCCATGGTGGATATGTGTGACTTTCTTGTTGCAAGCACGACAACTAATGTAATACCATGCCCAGTCGGTATCAATTGCATAGATAGTACACATTAACCTTGCCTTGCCAATCTAACAAAAACTTTAGATATGAATATGGATATTTATAGACATTAAAAAGTATTGGTAATGATAGCTTACTCAAATAATTACCTCGACAGAGTTAAGGAGATCCAAAATGGTCTTCCTAGGATGATCTAAAGAAGTATCATCCTGATTGGCAACAACAATCTCAAACTTTGGGACTCTTTCACGAAAGATACACAGTGCACCATCAGTTGGGAGACTATATGTCAACAACATGAAATATATAGGTTAGTTCCATAGTACATAAGTAAATAAAGTAGGCTAAAGATTTAAATCACATGAAATGATTACCTTTGAACAAACACAGCAACTTCAGGGATTGCTGGATTCACAAAAACTTGTGAAGCATCAAATGAGTTAGACAAAGTCTTTACACCTGTAGAATTTAAATAAGATGTATGAGCCATGACGTTGCTCTAAACAGTATCAGTATATTATTAAGGCTGGTAAGATTCTGTTTTATGTACCTTTAAAGGATTTGATCTTCACAAACCTCAACAAACATACAACAGGACGCCCACCAGCAGTTTGGCTTCCTCTGTACACAGTCTCAGCAAATGATCCCCACAAGGTAACACCGATCCTTTCATCACTTTATATTTACAAAACAGAACATATTATGTAGGATCCATAGTAGATATATGGATAAAAGATTGAAAACACTTACGTCTCATTTCTCATCTCAAACTCAATCTTGCTAGTTGGTTTGTTGTTGGCCTCAAGAGTCAACAACTCTCCAATCATAACAATCTGGCCAATAACATCTATAAAAGAAAAGCAGAGGTAAACATATTTCATGATCTGTTTGTAAACTGTAGTTTATCGCATTTAATATATATATAAATAAAAAATATACTTACCAACCAATATGTATGGATTAAGATCTCCATTTTGAATTCTTTTGAAACTGGCTAGTGTCAGGTAACTTGAGTCAGAGACAGGATCACATGGAAATACATGAGTTCCATTTGTGAAAGTCATCTTATATAGATGAGAGGTTGGACGGAATTGGCCACTGGCATAATTGAGAGCAAAGATCTCAATGAAAACCCAATGACCAACAGGTAAACTTGAGACATATCTGCTCACCAGTTCTTTCTTCACAATAGCATGAATCTTCTTGCCCTGTGAAAGAACAAAAAACAGTAGAGTCAGAAAAAAATAATAGCTTTTAAATGGTTTAATGTAAACTAATTCACAATTAACATTGGCAACTGAATTACCTCCATATCAGATAACACCAACTCTAGAGTTTCACCAGTGCTGGCTGTGTACTGCCGCCAGGAGTGAAGTACCTTCACTTGGACTCTCAATTGTGTGGTGTATGGCCTGACATCTTTGAGGTAAGCAAATGTTGCAGCAGCCATTGTTTGATGGTTTATGGTAAGATCTAATGTTTAGATTAGAGGCTGTGAGGGCTGATGATAATGAGAGGTTAGACATGGAACTATATATAGGGTCATATATTAGGTTAAAGAAAACTTGATCACAAAGCATATTGGTATCGCAATCTTGACCAAATCGGCATAAAATCTTGTGATTGTTATAGTTATGGAAGCTAGATAAATGGTTAGCAATAAATAGGTTGTGATCATCAGAAATATTTGGGAAGGAGAGGATAATGTAAAGATACTCTGGAATGATATGCACAGAGGATAGGCGGGAAACATAAATTCAATTAGTAGAGGGAAATACATATTTGGAAGTAATTTAAATAATTGATTAGGTCGGTGAGCAGTTATTTGTTTAGATTGTGTAAATATTAGTAGAATCAATTAGGTATTATAAGCATCCGGAGATATTTGATTATGGAAATAGTTTATGAATATGTCAAGTGCGAAATAATAGCTTAGTAGAGCATCAACACATATTTGGAAGGAATTTAAATTGACAGATACTGTAAATAACTTTGTTGCAGATTGCATTGGCGAAAATAAAGGAACAACGGAGATTGCATTGGCGAAAATAAAGGAACAACGGAGATTGCATTGGCGAAAATATACTTAAGGTATGAGAGATGTTATTTGTATTGATTTTGGTAAAAATAAGTAGATGAATTAAAGACAACATAGCTTCATTTATCAGTTTGAAATTAAGACAACATCCCTTAAATCTCTTATTCTAGATCCGAACAGACTTAAACCGGGTCAAACCCGGATCCAAAAGAATTAAAGCAAAAAAGTACTATAAAAATGTATATGTAGATTTGTTCAACAATTTGCCTTTAGTAAAGCTTTATCCAATAAAAAATAGAATTCCCTTAGAAAATCTAAGAAAAATGTTCATTTTGATAAAATGTAATTCTGAGGTTTTGTAGCGGGGGCCGAATGAGATATTTAAATAAAGTCAGTGTCCCTTTATAGTTTAAAAAATATTATGTCAATTTTCAAACATTCATGCAGATGGACTTATACAATTACCTTATCGAGTTTTTAGATTCCTTTAATTATTTTATTTTAATTTTTAAATACTTTAATTTTTTTATTCTGAATATATATCCATCAAAACTTCATAAATGATATAGATTATAAAACACTAGGTTAGGATCCATGTGATATATAGGTTAATTAATAAATGCTTGCTTTTATTATTATCAAGTTTAGTAAATGTTCTTGCCATTTTGAATAAATATTATGCTTAATTACAATCTTACATAAAGAAAATTCTAATTTTATTTAAAATGATACACAAATTAGTAATTGTAAATATGTTTCATTTCTGTTAGTTTTCCTATTTAATTATGTTGTAATCTAATCATCTAATTGACATGTGTCACGGTCATGTTAATGATTAACATTGAAAAATCAGGATTTATCTAATAAGAGATTTTAATTTCAATTCAATTTGAGAACTTCTGTCTAAACAAAACAAATTACAAATGTGAACATGCAAAATAATCATTGATGATATCAATTCCAAACAAAACGAATTACAAATAAACTATCATCACTTGCAAATAGGCTGATTTCTTACTCGATTCCATGTCCACCGAATATGTGCTTTTGCATATTTTCCCAAACAAAAGCTCTATCTCATTTAGGTTGTGCTCGTAGCTTCTGAATCTCATAAAACTCCGATACGAAGTTTCAAAAACATGTAACTGAACAGCTAGCCTTCGACTCTCCAAAAGTCTTTTCTGGCTTGACTTTTCTAATTGAACCATATTGAATCAGTGACCTACAAAATACTATTATTCTCTTTTTGGATCTTGTTTAAAAATATTACATGAAAGCTTATGGTTACACTTAGTTATCCTACTACTACTACTACTAGTTGAAGAGTACTAAATAGAGACTAACATAAAAGTTGTTAAAAATTACATCACAATGTTATTGATATTTAAGTGTTTTTAACTAAATTCATTAAAGATAGAGAAAACTAACACTAGTACCACAATTCCCCAAATTATTTTCGTTTCTACCACTTTCTCTTTCCATTTTTCACTTATACCGCATTAGGTATGTGTTAAGACTAAATTGCCATTCCTTTTGTGTGCTTAAACTTCAAAGACAAATATATGTAAAATTCGGGGACAACTGGTAAATAACCGAATCCACAATTTCATCTTATTTGTTGCATGTTCTTTTAAGGGAAAAATGTCATTAAAATCCTCAATTTATTCAAAACGTTGATTTAAATCCTCAACTCACGACAAAACGAAATAAATATCAAACTTATGTTGACTTTCCAAATAAATATTAAACTTATGTTGACTTTCCAAATAAACACTAAACTTTCATTGACTTGCCCATATTAGACATGACGTTAAGTGGGTTAACAGACCATGTTAACGGGATTAATTTTTTGTTAACAGACCTGCTAATTGAAAATGACAGTATTCTTTCTAAACATAAACGACGTTGTTTTGTCGTAACTGCTCAATAAAATTCCGAGTTTCAAATCATATGAAAATTTAGGATTAGAGATTTTGCTCGATTTGGGGATCTAAGATTGACTTTAGGGATTTATTTCAATCGTTACGACAAAGCGACGTTGTTTTGTTGTTATATGAAACGATGTCGTTATCAATTAACATGTATGTTAACAGAAAATTAACTCCGTTAACGAGATCTATCAACCCATTTAATATCGTACCTAATATGGCCAGGTCAACAGAAGTTTGATATTTAATTGGAAAGTCAACATAAGTTTGATATTTATTTGGAAAGTCAACATAAGTTTGATATTTATTTTGAAAGTCAACATAAGTTTGATATTTATTTCATTTCGTCATGAGTTGAGGATTTAAATCAATGTTTTGAATAAGTTGGGGATTTTAACGACATTTTTCCCGGTCTTTTAACTAGATTTTGTCCCTCGATTTTAATTCATTGTCCTTCGATTTTAGTTCTCCAAAATTCTAATTGTGGTCTTTTCATTTTCTTTGTTTATATTTCGTTTGATTATTGTCCCCGAATAGGTTTATTAAAATCATTCACCGACTTTTAATTTGTCCTTTCAGATACTTGTCCCCAGATATTGCACTTTAACTGACACAAATATGTCACATCAGCTGAGGGAAAAACCGTCTTTTTATACTACAATACCAAATGAATGTGGTAGGAATGGAAATGAATTATCAATGTGGTAGAAATGGAAAGGATATGGTTGAAAGTGGTAGAGTTGACCAAATTTTCTTAAAGATATATTAGTAATAAAATATTAATATAATTAAATTAAAATCATAAAATATTATTTATTGGAAGTACATTTAAAAATATAATTTAAAAGTCATTACATTACATTTAAACATAAACACCAAATCCATGCACTCAGTTGAAACCAAACCCCGCGAATACATTAAAATCTCTAGAAAAACAAGGGACACACAAAATTGCGAAAATTTCATCACACAAACAAAACTATACGGCAACAAAAACAAGAAACACATAGAACGTTAAAATGATCTATAACATGGTCTATAAATTAAAAAAGAAAAAATCACCGAATTCTAAAAATAAATAAAAACTCTGCCTATTCAATTCAAGTTTCCAAAAAAAAAATGCAACAACATTATTTATCTCGCGAATATCGCGAGTTAGCATCTAGTCTTATAGTACATAATGTCCGATAACATGAGAGAAATTATTTCTGTCATGGAAAATAGATCTTATTAAAATAGTAACGGATGATATAAGTTAGAACTAATATCTAAACCAAGTTACACGGCAAACAGGCACATCGTTTTCTCTGAACACTTCAATCAATTGTTTAAAGACTTTCTATCGAATTTTTCGGTAGAAAATATCCCAAAATTATAGATATTTCATATTTGATTTGTCGCTATACGGAACAAAACATGAAGTAAACCCATTCTGCCCTACATTTAAAAACACAGCACTCTCTTCACCATTTGCTTCAACTTTTTCTTCTCCAATGGCTCTCTCCACTCTCAACTTCTCCTTTCTATTCTTCCTCCTCTTCACTCCCTTGGTTGTATCAACTTCTCTAAAACCTAATCAAACCTCTCTAACAAGTTTCTGCATGAACACACCATATCCAAATGCATGTTTCGACTCCTTAAAACTCTCCATCTCCATCAACATAAGCCCCAACATTCTCTCTTTCCTCCTTCAAACCCTCCAAACAGCTCTTTCCGAGGCGGGAAAACTCACCGATCTTCTTTCCGGCGCCGGAATCTCCAACAACCTCGTTGAGGGACAACGTGGCTCTCTTCAAGACTGCAAAGATCTTCACCAGATCACTTCTTCCTTCTTGAAACGATCAATCTCCAAGATCCAAGACGGTGTTAACGATTCACGAAAGCTAGCTGACGCTAGAGCGTACCTGAGCGCCGCTCTCACCAACAAGATCACTTGCTTGGAAGGTCTTGATACAGCCTCTGGTCCGCTAAAGCCAAAGCTCGTGACCTCCTTCATGGAAACTTACAAACACGTAAGCAACTCCCTCTCCGCTCTTCCAAAACAGAGAAGAGCCACAAATCTGAAAACCGACGGCAAGACTAAGAACCGCCGGTTATTTGGGTTATTACCTGACTGGGTCTCTAAGAAAGATCACCGGTTTTTAGAAGATTCTAGTGACGGGTATGATGAGTACGACCCGAGTGAGATCATCGTGGTTGCTGCCGATGGAACAGGGAATTTTTCAACCATTAACGAGGCCATAAGCTTTGCTCCGGATATGAGTAACGACAGGGTGCTGATATATGTAAGGGAAGGTGTGTATGACGAGAACATTGAGATTCCGATCTACAAGACTAATATTGTTCTGATCGGAGATGGATCCGATGTTACATTTATTACCGGAAACCGAAGTGTAGGAGATGGATGGACCACTTTCCGATCTGCTACTCTTGGTAATCATCTTTGACTCTTTATAAAATCTTGTTTATATAAAACAAAACTCAAGTGGTAATATTGTTTGGGGCATAGTGTAGTCTGTGTAGACTTAGGACCGTAGAATTTTTGCATTTTGTTTTGTCAATTAGGACCGTAGAATTTAATTTTCAATAATTATTAAGTTTTTTATTAAATTAAAAAGTA